CCGACTCATAGCGACCCCTCCTTGGGTTTCCGAGGCAGTATCACTACGGAAGTAGGATTGCCCAACCTTCCTTCCGAGGAGTGGCTGGTGGGCTTGAACCTCCAGCCTTCTGGTGAGCAGTCATGTGCCTTAGGCACTATGCTACCAGAGCTCCTAACAAGATAGTAGTTTTCACTATTGTTTTAAATGGGAAATGTCAGATAAGAAGATAGTTGATGAATGAGGAGAAGGTGTAGTTGTAGATATATAGTAAAACCTATGAAAGTCAGAAACTGTATATAGCAGAAACCTGTCAGAGAAGGAAAACTCTTATGTTGTTGTTGCTATGTGATGTTGAGTCGGACCTGACTCGTATCAACTCCTCCTTGGGTTTCCAAGGCGGTATCACTATGGAAGTAGATTGCCCAACCTTCCTTCCGAGGAGTGGCTGGTGAGTTTGAACCTCCAGACTTCTGGTTAGCAGTTAAGTGCCTTAGGCACTATGCTACCAGAAAACTCATATATTTTCCACTAAAATGAGTGCTAGAAGGGTGGTGAGACTTCACTCTGTCAAAGGTGAAAAACTTGTGAAACCCAGGGAAACAAGGCAATCCTGTTGCGTTCTGGCTGTCACAGGTTTCACTGCACTTGGATTTAAATCTACTATCTTGCTAATTGTGTTCTATTTGTCCCATCAGCTCTTTTTCTCAGCATTTTCTTCTTTTATGCCTGGTTATTATTATTTATTTAGTATTTTAATTATTGGCTGGCACTATGTCACCCCTTTAACCAAACACAATCTACCTCCAAATAATATTATACCATTTCATCTATAGTGCCAGGATTTTATAGCAGTGTACTTCCGTTTCCTTCTTTATATCCTTTGTGTTATTGTTGTCATATTTTACTTTTACAATGCATTATTACTATCTTTGCTCTAGACAAGAGATTATTTTTATTTAATGTCTTTTAAAAATCCTTTCTGGAGCTCTTCTTTTCCTCTGGCATCATACTTCTTGTGTTTGAATAAATCTTTTAAACATTTCTTATAGTGCATGAATGCTGACAATGAAGTCTCAGTTTTTA